TAGTAGTTTTTTCAAATTTTTTACTCTCACATATATTTCATGTACATACTTTGTGAGCTTTCATGTAATGCTTTGTGAGCTTTCATGTAATGCTTTGTGAGCTTTCATGTACATGTTTTGTGAGCTCTCATGTACATGTTTTGTGAGCTTTCATGGAATACTTTGTGCATGTAAATGTTTTGTGAGCTATTGATTATTTAAACTTACCCCTTTACATTCATCACTTGACCAATTTTATGAAAATTGCAGAGATGATTAAAAGATCAATGTTGTTTTATGTATTACTAATATTGCATAAAAAACACAATAATGTTGTTTTGATGTATTACTAATATTGCATAAAAAAACACAATAAGGAATAATATTACATTATATAATAATCAAAAAACAAATCAAAATAAATAGACATACAAAATGTTAAAAACAAAAGAATAATTACTTAAAAACAAAAGAATAATTACTTAAAAACAAATAATTAATTGCAGAATTGGAATTAATTATTTGGGATGGTAAATAGTTTTAAGTTCAGAAATAATATATCATATAGGTTGTTAGTGAACAATAGAAGCACACAGCGAGTAAGCTAAAAATCTAATTTACCAGGGTGGTCGTAAAAACAACCACTTTCTAAAATATATGTATTGAACTCCTAAATATGTTCTTTAAAATAAAAAAGCCACTGGAGTTCAAAAACTTATAAAATTTCTTTTCTTAAACTTAAAATCAATTGTATAATTTTGAATTCAATTTCCGATTATGTTCTAATAAATTGGTATAAATTTATATTTTTTACAGATATATATATAAACTTTATGGTTTAAAAAAAAATCCAACCTTTTTTTATAAATTTATAAATCTATTTACAATAACTTTTTTAAAGACCCTCAAAATTTTCAAAGTATAAATAGTTTGAAATAATTAATTTATGTGCTGAAAAAAAAAGAAGCATTTAAACAATAGTTTTATACAACCGAGAACACCTGTTGAAGTTAATTTGTAAAAAACTAGTTCAAAAACGTATATCAAAAACGTATATCAAAAACGTATATCAAAAACGTATGCGAAAAGAATTTACAAAATCTGGAGCTTTTGAAATAACGTGTTCAAATTCTGCAAATGACAACCGATTATCATCGTCTAAGTCTGCTTCAGCCATAATTTTTTTTACAATAGCATTTATGTTATCTTCAGTTAATTTTTGTTCGCCACAAAGTTTACTTATAATCTGACAAACATCACTCCGACATAAAAAATCATCTTCATTAAAGTCATATATTCGAAAAGCATACTCAACTTTCACACTTTTTGGAGCATTCTCTGAAAAAACAGACATCATATCAAGAAAATCATCAAATGTCATATCACCAGTCTCTGGAGTAGAGGAAAAAACTCGGCATATACGATCTTGAAAAGGATTGACTTTCAACTCTGGAAGGTTAAGTATAGCTCTTTTAGACAATCGTGCATTTTTATCCTTTGTAACAGCTAAAACATCTAACTCTTTAAAACGTTTATGACAATGCAAAATTTCTTTCTGTGTTAGATAAGTTAATTCTTGATATTCTTTTAATTCTTCTTCAGTAAATGCTGATTGACCTGCACCCATTATTTCATTTAATATCTTAAATTACACGAATAACTATATATATATATATATATATATATATATATATATATATATATATATATATATATATATATATATATATATATATATATAATAATAATAATAATAATAATAATAATAATAAAAACATGGTGATCCATATGAATAATGATATGTTAGCATCTACAAATACCAAAATATTGAAATGTATTGTTCAAGTTTATTGTATAGTAGAAAGGAACTTTTTAAATTAATTTATATTATTTTTCAATTGTTCTTAATTGCTCTTAGAACTAAGATTGCCCAATCAACAGAAGTTTGCATAATATAAAGGCATAATAAAAGTGAACCGAATCAAAAATGTTTTCTAACAGTAAGACAGAAAGTTACATAAGAAAGCAAAGATGATACAGGTAAAGACTATATGACAAGCTCATACTGCACCAGATATTCAGAGGTAAACTTGAATTCCAACTATCCATAAGCCAACATCTGTGTCAACGTAGCAGTACCATCTCCAAAATTATGGATTAAAATAATGTGTAGTATCTAAAAAAAACTTGTAGATTGTTAATATAAATTGAAGAGATTAAGATAAAAAATATAAAAGATTTATCATTAAATAAATGGTTTAAAAGTGCAATAATGCAATCAAAATTTGGAATTTTTGGAAGGAAAAAATATTAACATGCTCTAAAAAATTAGCATATGCTCTAAAAAATTAGCAAATTAATGATTGTCTAAAGTGTGTACTAACAATCAAACACAAAAATGATTTTGTAACAACTTGGGATTGTTTTGCTGGTTACAAAGTAGGAGATTTAGATAGGATTGAGAGAATTTTTGATAAAATTTATTATCACAAGATTTTTCAGCAATATGCTTTACTATCTGGCTAAAGAATAATGAACAAGGGCTTTTTTTTTCAAGACAACAACTAGCATCCATCAGAGTGGCATAAATATTATGTTTTATCAAAACAACATGTACAAGTATTAACATACATGGATTGACCATCTTAGTCACCCTCATGGAATAAATGCCATAGGTTTGTGCTAAAGTTTTAAAAGCAAATACTCGTTCGTTTGAAGAATACAATTTTGGGAGAAAAGTGAATCAATGCAGATAGCTGCCTATTAAATATCAATGATGATACTTTACTGAAATAACGCTCTTTGGCTATTTCATTTTAATTTTTTTATTACTATTCTTTGTCTTCTTTTTATGAAAATGTGTCTGAATTAAAGCCAGTTTTTTATATTTAAGTCAGCAAAATTATTATTACAAATTAGTACTGTGCTGACATAAATGTACTTAATTTTTAAATAAAAGTTAAACTTTAACTCCAGATAACCATAAAAAGTTTTAAAATCTAACAAATACTTTTTTTAAATATTATGTTTTATATATATATATATATATATATATATATATATATATATATATATATATATATATATCAGGGGCTATTCTAGATAGTTTTCGATAGTGTCGGCCATATTTGAGCACCGATTTGTTAAATTAAAAATTGAGGATCTTTTTTTTTAACGGTTTTTTTTAAATGTTTTTACGGCAAATATTGTTTTTTCGAGAGAAAAAAACGCCCATTTTCTGCTAAAGTTCGGTAGAACAAGGGGTACCGCTGTCCAAATTTTTTTCCTAGAATGGCCCTGTATATATATATATATATATATATATATATATATATATATATATATATATATATATATATATATATATATATATATATATATATATATATATATATACAACTCTAGGAATTAGGAAAAATGAGGTCCGCATATTATTGCTGACCTCAATCTTTTAGAGGTCAGCAAAAAAAATTGATACAAAGGTCTTACCATAAAACATAGAAACAACCATAAAACATAGAAACTTAAACACTTTGAGTTTTGCAGTTAGGTTGGCATTGCCGAATGCCGACCCTAATTCCGAGGGCTGTATATATATATATATATATATATATATATATATATATATATATATATATATATATATATATATATATATATATATATATATATATATATATATATATATATATACACACAGATATAAATATATATATAAATACATACATACATACATATCTTATACTGCTGAGTTAGGTGAGCAGTGTTATGTCATACTGAAATAGCCTGCTGCCGATATATATATATATATATATATATATATATATATATATATATATATATATATATATATATATATATATATATATATAATATAATTATAATATAAACATATATATATATATATATATATATATATATATATATATATATATATATATATATATATATATATATATATATATATAATTATTTTAACATTTTTTCATGTAAAGAATAAAATCAGAGAAAAACAAAAGTATTGGAACAAGGCGGGATTTGTTAATTGATTTGGCATGTTTTTTATAATTAAATATATATAAAACAAAAAGTGTTTTTTATAAAAAAAACAATATTAGGTACAATATTTGAGTACCAAGTTGACATATTTTTAAATAATTTTTTTTTTAATAATATTAGGGACCTGTCAAATGTTTAGTGGCTTTGAGGGACCTTTAGGGCAAATAATAAAATTTAGTAAAAAATATTTTTGAACCACAATATGATAGTTGAATGGGAAAAACTTCGATTAGCTATGTTCTGAAAACAAATTAGCATACTGAACAGCCCTAATATATATATATATATATATATATATATATATATATATATATATATATATATATATATATATATATATATATATATATATATATATATATATATATATATATATATATATAATGAGGATGTAATGGAAAACATAAAAAAAATCTTGATTTAGTAAAGTAATTATTAAATTTAGATTTTGACTTTACAGTCAAAATCTAAGTCAGTTATTAGATTTCTTTTTATTGATTTAAAATTTTGAAGATATATAGAATTTGAAAATCAATTTAATAATAATATTATTGCTATTATTGCATAGAATAAATGATATTTGTAGTTTATTGCAGAAGAATACGATGCTAAGCTAGTAACATCACAGGGTACTAAAAATATTTGGCAGATATTAATTTGATTTACTTCTATAACCGAAGAAAAGGATTCTAAACGCCGAAGTTCTCTTTTTTTCAATGAATGTTTACTTGGATTCATTAAAACGTGTAATATAAAATTAAAATAACTGTATTTATATAAATTAAAAATAACTTATTTAAAAACTATTTATTATTTTAAAAAAATATATTTTTTTGAAAAAGGAAAAAAATATCGCATTAAGACAGTTTTAAAAACAACAATAGTAATTACAAACTTGAACATATTACCAATTATATGTGATTTAAATCTACAAAAAAAGAGAATATTTTTATAAAGTCTTATCTGCAAACATCAACAAAAACATTAATGTTTAAAATTAAAAATTTTAAAGTTACTATGGATTCCACAGTTATATCAATAACAGTTATATCAATAATTTTCCGTATGAAAATATTGGCAGTACAGCGATATTATATTTTTATTCATTTTTTATAATTTTTGATTTCGGTTTCGTTAGTTTGCAATTGAAACTGATTTTTTGAATAGAAATGAATAGAATGTTTATTTGCTTTTGTATAATACGCTTTTATTCAATCTTTTTATTCTATCCTTTATTGAGTGAATAAAATAAGTTTTTTTTATTAACTTAACTAACTTAATCACATAAGCAAATTTAATTTCGTTTAACGAAATTTGTTAAGGTGTTATCGTAAATAATTCACCAATGATTTTTTTTTTACTTTAATTCTAGCTGAAATTAGATACAAAATGTTTTCCTAATTTGAAAAAAAAACTTTTCATGATAATTCTAATTATTCATTTTATTAAATATATATTAAACATAAATATATATTAAAAAATATATATATTAAACATGTGAGAATTATATTAATGTTTTAATTTTTAAACATATTTTTAAGTGAAACTTTTTTAAAGCTACATTATTTAAAACTTGAGGCATAAAAAATTTCAGTTAACGATTGTGTATCGCTGCTTTTTATTATCTTCATTTTATTGACTAAATGTTTTTTAAATAGCATTTAATTGCTAACACATTTTAAAATATATTATAAAACATTTAGATACTATTAATTAAATTCAAATATTCGAAAGAAAAATAATTATTAAATTTTAGTTTTGTGATTATTAATGGTTTATTATAAACCCTGTGGACTCCGTGCCCATATACCTTAAAAGACGTCTGTGTTCACTAGAAACTTTTTTTTTTGTTGTTTTTAATATATATATAATCTTTCCTACTATCTTCAAGGTTGTCTATGCTTTTTCTTCCCCTTTTCTAAACCCTCTACTCTTTTCACGTTTTAATATTGGGTTTCCTAAAAAAATTTATAAACTCCTTGTTTATAAGAAATTAAAATTTCATTTTAATTTCTTATAAACAAGAAATTAAAATGAAATTTTAATTTCTTGTTTATAAACTAAAAAATAAAAAAAAATAAAAAAAAAGATATACCTTAATTTATTGTTTTATTTTAATAAGAAATAAAAAAAAACCAAACACATAATTTATACAAAATAAAAATATTATTAGCAAATTAAAAACCGTAAAACCCCCTTTATTCTGGATGGTTTAGAGCTTAAATCATCACAATGAGCGAGTTATAAAAGATTTCGAAATTAATTTTAATACATGTTTATAAATAAACATCATAACAAGATAAATCGAACAATATAAAAAAAACTTTTTTTTGTAATTTTTATATTACTTAATTTTTAAAAAGCACTCTGCTTGTTCGGAGTTAGAGTCTCTACGTCCCTAATTCCAGATAAATATAAAATATAAAAAAATACAAACACAACTAATTTTAACAGTAAATTATTTAAGTTAATCTATTAACGAAATAGAATTGTTTTACCTAAAAAAGAAAATACATCATATTATTCACATTCATTACAAATAAATTCCATAGTTAGACGATAATCAACAACACATACAATGTATGTAATTAATAGATTTTATTTGTTGTGGCTTGTTTAGCCTCATCGAAAGCTATGGCATCCGTCAAAATCATATTGTAATGATCGCTCTATTCTCTCACCTTTTTGAACTTATTTATTTAGAGTTAGTTTCAATTGATATCTAACTATATTTGAAACTGATTTTTTTATATCTTTTTGTTGGTGGTTAACTTATTTTTTATTTTTTTCATGCACAAAAAATAATAATTATCTGTATTCAGATTTAAGTATCTATTTTTTTTTTTTTGCTGGTGGTTAACTTATTTTTTATCTTTTTAATCAATAGAAATGATAATGTAGTATTTATATATTAAAATAATCAGCATAAAATTTTGCACATAATAGTGTTATTACTTTTTTAATTTTTTCGTTGCATCTAATTTATTTTTTTCGTATTTTTGTAAATTTAGTTATGATAGGTTTCAAATTGGAATCTTTCAAAATTACAATATTTGTATAATTTCTTTTATATTGCTCGATTTATCTTGTTTATACGTTTATTAATTAAAAAAAAATGTATGATAAATTTGCGAGTTATGAAACTTTTTATTAAAACCATCCGGAATTATTAGAGTACATCCGAAATTATGGAGTTTTACGGTAATTAAAAAAAACATTCTTATACTGCTATACTTATATAATATATATATATATATATATATATATATATATATATATATATATATATATATATATATATATATATATATATATATTTAAACAACTATAAAATGTATCCTACAAAATAAAGTGCTCAATGTTCTTAAAAGAACGGAACAATTATAAATTAATTACTTTAAAAGATTTTCTGATGAGTCTTTATTGATGAAACACAGTGTTAATTGAAAAAAATTACAAGATCTTTTAGAAGATCTTTAATCGAGTTTATTGAATGTTTACCTCCTGAGAATTGGATTTTCTAAAACGATAACGCGGCGGTAAACACGGCACGAAGTGTAAAACAATGATTCTATGAAGAAAATATACCCCAGCCGGCACATTAAGTTTCATTTACGTGTTAAAAACCAGTGAACAACACGTGGTTGACTCAGTGAATTTGTAAACTTTTCTCACGAGTTAGAAACTTTTTTATAATTGGTGTTTGGAACGTGTTTTAAAAAGTTTTTTTCACGTGTAAAACCAAGTTTTAATTACGTGACGGACACAGTGATTTTGTAAACTTTTCTCACGAGTTAGAAACCTAATTCTATTTAGTGTTTGGAACGTGATTTTAAAGGTGGGTTTCCCACTCATTCGTTTTTCTACGGGAACGAGATAGGAACGGGAAAAATAATCACGTGAGCATGCATAGTTTTACTTCGGACAAGTTAAAACTTATAATACGCATGCCCACGTGATTATTTTTTCCTTCCTTTTCCCGTTCCTATGAAAAAACGGATGAGTGGAAACTCACCCTAAAGTTTTTTTTACATGTAAAACTTTAGTTTTACTTATAAGTTGTAATTATAACTTATAAGTAAAACTATAGTTTTAATTATTTAAGATATAAAATTAAGTATAATCTTAAACGCATAATATGAGCATAATTAAAACTTAAGTTTTAATTATGCTCATATTAAACTTAAATTAATTTTATATCTTAAATAATTAAAATTTATATCTGACACGTTTAATAACGTGTCAGATATAAATTTTTATATGCATTTTTATATATCAACGTATGTTAATAATTGTTATTTTTAATAAGTTTGCTCATTAAAATAAAGTAAATACAATAAAAACTAAATAATAAGTACTTTTATTATTAAAATAACTCAAATCATCATTTGATAAAAAGTTTGACAGCCTAACATGGTGGTAGTCTATTAAAACGTTTTCCTGCTTGTTTAAGCCACTCTGATATAACTCGTTTGGTTTCTTTTTCTGAGGAATTCCAAACATTAGATATTGATCTGAGTAATAATGAATGTTGGAAGATGATGGTCCGAAAACAAATGATGGTCCGAAGACAAATGGTCCGTATATGACTTTAACGGTACATTATTACCATACATAACATTTATATTTATTTGCAACTTGCATGACATAATTGCATTTAGAGAACAACGAACATGCTCGCTCATGGACTTACATGTTAAACCTATAACTTCCACCTTCCTCTGAAGCATTAGTTTAATTTTTTTATTGTCAACTATTTTCTTTTCGAGTGCCAAAAGTTCTTCGGTGGTAGTCGTTTGTTCGAAATCATCTACATCTTCATTGTCACTCTTTGATAGAAATGAAAGAATCTTTGATTGTTGTTTTTCGATTAGTTGCATTTTTTCTTTAAGGTCGCTTAAACAAAACAAAACTTTTTGCTGAAAGCTTCCCATGTCTATAGGAAATTGGTCAACTTGAATTTTTTTTGGTCGTCCACCTTTAAAACTCTTGACAGGGAGATAATTATTTATTTTGTCTTCTTTATTTTTAAGTGATGTATCATTATTTAAAATAAAATGTATATCCCCTTTGTGTGAAAACTCACCAGATGAATCGTCAACAGCTTCTTCATTTATGTTCCGCTTTTTTTTTTTTTTAGGTGAATTTGATTTCACCAACCATCCTTCTCGTTTTTTACCTTAAAAAAATATTTTCAAATAAGTGCTCAATAAATAAATACAAAATAGTTGAAAAAAACTATTAATGTGAGGTTTTTTATGGATTTTTTTTTGATGTGGAGGAATTTTTATTCCCAATCAAAGTAAACATAAAATTTTATTCCTGTTTTACACCCTGTTCTGGTAGCTTTGGGAAGATAAACTTCAAAAACCTTAGAAAACTTATATAAGAGAATATCTGCTCTTAAAGCTAAAATAATATAAGGCCGGAGATGTCTGTTAAAGGATTATGAAAATGCTCTTTAATTAAAAATACTGTTATAAGTATTTAAATCATTGTAAACTATATTCTCAGAATTATTTACAAACAAATCATAGTCATGATTTGTTTGTAATGTGAAAGTGAATACTAACCATTATTTGGTTTTTCCAAAAAATTTTGAATCACAGGATAATCCACCAGTGTTTCTGAAAGGTATAATAAGTTTGATAACTTGAAATAATGATAATGAACTTTTACTTTTAACTATGGAAACACTAAAACTTAACAACCCATAAATTACGTAAAACTCTTGCAACAACCACTTTGATGAATTTTAAGACTTTTAAAAGTCATAATGGAATCAAGAATTTAACCGTTACATTATAACAACTACTATTAACCACAACAAGGAATGGATCAATTTACCTGTTATTGTATCATAACATGCTTTAAGAACTTTTCCTACAAGCAATTTATAAAAAATAAGTATAAGCAATGAAATAGATATAATAGTGTACTGCAACATCATTTGTTGTATTTA